TACCAGGACTACGACCTCCGCAAAGCATTACTACTGGCATCCGATGGCAGCCGTCGAAGTACTGCCACCAGTAAACAGGTGGCCAACGGTGTCAACCAAAGTGATAATGGATTGACTGTATTGTTATCGACTAATGTCTTTGACTTTGACGTCGAGTTTAAGAAAGTTTACGGATTTTGTTACAAAACCGCATCAAATCAATCGCAACAAGAGATGAGATCCTTTGATCAGTCATTGAAGTCCAAGAAGACCGTCGCCTCAATGATAGTCCAGCCGTCGGACAGTAAGGCTAAGACTACGGCAGCCGTGGCTAAAGATAATGCGAAACAGGCGGAGAAAACGGCCGCCAAAGCCAATGGCGAGCCATCGGCGGCCACCACTCAGACGGATATCATGAAAAAGTTGTCTCAAATGGCGGCGAAGAACACGACGTCACCGAAGACTAAGAAAGTGGTGGTGAAGAAGGAGGCGGTGAAGAAAGAGAAGGGCAAACGGGTCTGGGATTTGGGCGGTAGGACCGACCAGAACCTGGACTTCAGTAGGCGCTCGAACGGGGACGACGAGTACAGTGTCAACGAGTCGTCCATCGCTAAGAACGTGGCCAACGCTGACGATTACAGCGCGTACGACACCATTGATATGCAACCGGACCTCGAGTTTGAAGTGGAAGACGAGGAAGAGGATGAGGAAGACGATGAGGAGGAAGAGATGGTGAAGACAGCGAAACCCAAGAGTTCGTTCTTCGGCTCATTCCTCAAGACTATTAACTACAATAAGGCGCTGACGGCCGCAGACTTGGAACCCATACTAAACCAATTGAGGGACCATTTGATCGCTAAGAACGTGGCCGCAGAGATAGCGACCAAACTCTGCGAGAGTGTGTCCACTAAACTCGAGGGCCAATCAGTGAACACATGGCTCGGACTCAAGGGTTTCGTACGACAGGCGCTCGAAGACTCGATTCTCCGTATATTGAGTCCCAACCGAAACGTCAATATATTGCGAGACATTGGGGCCAAGTCTTCGCCGTACGCCATAGTCTTCTGCGGCGTGAATGGTGTGGGAAAGTCGACTAATTTGGCTAAAATAGCCAATTGGCTGATAGTGAACAACGTACGGGTGCTGGTGATCGCGTGCGACACCTTCAGGGCCGGCGCCATCGAACAGCTTCGGACACACATAACGGCGCTTAAGAGTATCCACGAAAGGGACGGGAAGTCTAAAATAGATCTATTTGAAAAGGGTTACGGCAAGGACTCGGCCGCCATAGCCATGGAGGGCATAAACTACGCCCGTACTGCGGGCTACGGGTGCTGTCTCGTGGACACGGCTGGCCGTATGCAAGGAAACGAACCGCTGATGAAACAGTTGGCAAAACTGATTAAGATTAACGAACCGGACCTCACTTTGTTTGTGGGCGAAGCACTGGTAGGCAATGAAGCCGTCGATCAGCTCACCAAATTCAATACAGCGCTTCTCGATAATGGCTGCCGTGGTGTCACTTCTAACTCTTCGGCTATCAATGGCATCGTATTGACTAAGTTCGACACCATTGATGATCAGGTCGGCGCCGCCATATCGATGACTTACATCACTGGACAACCGATTGTCTTCGTGGGCGTCGGGCAGACGTATCGCGATTTGAAACAATTGAACGCCAAAGCAGTGGTCAAAGCGTTGATGAAGTAATTGGCGCTCAAGAAGAATGTGTTTCGATTTGTGTCTAAGGTTTCCCATTGAATAGTATCTCATTTTATGGTTAAACCAATGAATTATACGTTTTGTTTGAATTATATTTTGATTATTAAATGGATATATATTTTGATTATTATTTTGTTTTTATTTTTATAAATTCTTATTTCATTTTAAGGAGAGTTAATTGTTTCTAGGTACTAATTATTACAGTTATTAGTCAATTGAATTATATTTCATCGCAAAGTTTATAATACTTTATAATGTTTTTACACACAAAAACTGTTCAACAAATACAGTACAGTAGTTAGTTTTGGGAATAATTGATCACTTGTTTAAAACATTTTTGATATAAAACTTCCCGGAAATACAGTGCAAATAAACACTGGATTTATAGAGAAAAGTTGAGCTATAAATTGAAATGTATTCTACAAAATATATGCAAAACATTTTTCCATGAAATCAATTCTCTTTTGAGATCATTTGTATATTAATACCGTAATTATTAATCATATTACTGGAAATAAAACTTCTTGATCACTATTTTAGTCTACTAAAATGCCGGTATTACAAATATTTTAGTTACCTGTAGATGTGTAGATTGTATTCAGGGATAGTTTTGTTGAGAGAATAAGTTTGTTTTATTGGTAATTATGTTAATGCTATGTTCTAAACGCTATTCATAGCAAATTGACAATTGAAAATCTTTCTATGGGAGGGAGAGAGAGAGAGAGAGAGAGAGAGAATATTGAAATATTGATAACTAATTATGACAAAAGTAGTGTCAATGTTATAGAAAAGTAATAAGTTTTGTGTAAAATTACTTTTAGTTCACACATCACTTGCTATGAAATACAAAGTAAGTTATTCTCGAAGTCTATACTTAAGTCTCAAAGAAAATTTGAAATTGAAATTTGTATCGACAAAAAACACTCAACTCTTTACAGTACACAAAACCAAATCGTTTGAAATTGACAATTTTCAGTCAAATAATGCTAATAGAGTTACGCAATCGGTGGTAAACTCAATGATAATGCAGTGGCTCCGAGTGGGAAGTCATGCGTATTGGACATACATTGCAGACAATAATAATCAAGCGCTGGAAGGTTAGCCTAATATACTG